AAATGCTGCTTCCACGGATGGGTAGATGCTTACACCCACGATGGCATGGACCACCTGGATGGAACAGGTGAGCCCATGAGCTCCTACAGCCCCACAGGTCTACAGGGTAGCAAAAGCAGCCGGGCACTGGGGACTTATCTTTCAGGCACAGACAGAGAGAAACAGCATCTCGCAGGCATTCCCAAGAGCTATCTAAAATGTCAACTCTCTCTATTCCAACCCTTGCCCTCTCCAGTTTCATGCACTTTAAAACAACTGCTTTAAAATACTCTGACTTCAAAGCTCCACAGTAAATTAAGCTCCACATAAAGTCCATTCAGCTTTTTGTTTAATTTGATAAAAGCTCATCAGACCATCCAAGTTACCTTCTGGTCAATATTGCCTCAAGAAATCTGCAATTCAGCTACCTGTGGTTTTTCCAATATTTCTGTAAAACATTACTGACAGAATCTGTTGGCTTGCATGCATCAGGTCTTTGGTAAACACTGTTTCAGGACCAAAGTACCTTTTACACTATTGTGATCTCTTCTTTTCCTCTAGAAGTCTTCATCTGGTGTGGGTTTTTGTTTTTCTTCTTGCTCTAACACTCTGGGATCACTGTCATTTTTATACAGCATTTCTCCCCTATTTTAACCTAATGACATACTATGCCCTCTTTTTAATGTCTAAGAAAAAGGATTGGTATCAATAACAATGGCTTAGCTCTTGACTTGCTGGCTAGGAGGTTTAGCTTCAGGCTAGACACAGTTACTGTTAAGCTGGATACTTTCACGTCTCTATTGACATAGAACAATAAATATGCTTACCACAGCCCCTTGCATCACAGATGATCCCAAAGCACTCTACAAACAGTGTACTGGGTCCCTCATTCACCATCAAAACATACTTGCCGCTAACTGTGCCAGCAACACTACATAAAAGTTAGCTAAGAAGTGAAAAAGAGAGCAACTTGTCCAAGTGAAATTACAAGGAAATTAAGGGAGGTAGAGTATATTACTTCATGGAGAAGTTGGCCAGAAGACCGAACAGCACACCTTTTTAATGGCCAAAAGGGCGGCAGGGTCCCTGTTCAAGACAGAATCGCCAGCAATGCACCACTGCTCCTCAGGTCTCTGCTGAGCAGGAAGCGTTATCAGCTGAAGAAAGCACACCACACGCAGAGCCGGTCGGCATGGCTGCTGCCGCCTCTCCGCTGCAGGCTTTTCATCTAAGCATTATCAAGAAAAAGCAATGCCTACCCTAAGAGCTTTGACAAGATCCCAACACAGTGGTGACAATAGAAAAATACACAAAAGATTTCAAGACCTCTTCAATGCTTCTTATTTAAATAAGCCATCAAACTGGAGGAAAAAAAAAATCCAGCAAAACCGATCGTTTCAAGACTACACAGGATCAGCCTCCCCATCCACCTCCCCTCTCGCCAAGCATTGACCTTGCTAGCAGAGCAGCAGTCTCAAAGATTTTACATTTCCTACCACATTATTACAAATTAGGACATTCAGCAAAGGGGAAAGTTTTTTTTTATACATAGTGATCACAGGAAGCTGAACAGTATCCTATATAAATACAGTTCTGTTACAGCAAAGAGGGGAAGTCTACTCTATTTCTCTAATGGGATCCCAAAGTTTTAGGACCATGTGTACAGCCCTTCTAAGAGGACCCCATTAAAAACAGAAGGCAGCTCTGTTTTAAGCATTTAAATCTCTACAGACAGACAAAAGAAAACACAGGAGAAAGCAGAAATACTATTGATTATGCATAATTGGTATAATTAATTTGTAATTAGTTCATTAAAATATATAGGCATTGGAATTATGCTTGTACATTTCTGGGAATATCCTGCAAGTCACTTGGGATATGCTTATCATTTATTTGATAGATGAAACATTATTAGAAAGACAGCCCATTAAAAATTAATATACCAGAGTAATAATTTCTGGATCTCAGCATTCAGTTTTCTATGTACTCAGATTCCTATTCTACCTCACAAAGAGTTTTTATTAATACTGTTTTCAGAGCGTGACTTGGGAAGCACAGCATTTTAGACAACCAAGGCACAATATCCTTTACGCCAATTGTGCAATCAGTTGTGAGAAAACAAAATGACAAATACTATAAATTATATGCCACGAGAATATTCAGCACCACATCTAATTCTATAATCAAAATTAAGATGGAAAGGTAAAAAGCCTCGTGCTTCAAAACAAACACCAAACATGAATGGAAAGCAGTAGGAAGAAACTTCTACAGCCCCATAAGCAGCCCGGTCTCTAATTGCTTAGCATTCTTCCACTTCTGCAGCGCGTCTGGCATCGCTCACTGTCATAAATGAACATGTCTGTATGAGCAGGATTTCAGGGCTTCTTAACTACTGCAGATAACAGCCACCAGTCTCTCACAAGAAGTGACTGAAACGGGCTGGTATACACTGGTACTGCAGGAGCATTTCAAAGATGTTATCACAGCTTGATGCGTGGGGAACGTAAGAGGGAATAATAGTGCATCACCGTTTTTTTCCTGTAATGTTACTTCACTATTCCTACCGATCTTTCTGCAGTCCTACCAATACTTCTGAAGTGCCATTTCAACCAACTGCTACAGAAATAATTTGATCTTAAAAACCCAGAATACAGTCACATCACTTCCAAGTAACACCAAAGTTTCCTTAAACTTCTGTAACAGATAGAGTGAGTCAGTCCTTATGTGTGTAATTATGAGCACCATGAATAGGCCTTCTGCTCAGAATCACCTCTTTAAAAGTATTTTCCCACCCACCCTACCTCCATCAACACTAATGGGGGCCTAGAAAGGTTGGTCTCTCACTGAGGCACCGATCCATGAAGCTGGGCCATGTGAATACCCATCTTCATTGGGAAAAAAAAAAAAAAAAAGTTAAAAATAATCATATGATTACTCAAAAAGAGCAACATCAACAGTGGTTACACAGTGCAGGTAGTGTCATTTGCCATTATAAGGCTTGAATCTTTCCTGTAAAGCATGTGCCTAAAAAAAACCCAAAAACCACCTTCCATTTTCTAAAGAAGGGTAAAATTGCAAAAAAGAAACATAGAAAACAGCGTTAGGTCTCCAGGTCCTTTAAGCCACAATTAAACACTTTACTGTAATTTTTGTGCATTTAAATTCTTAAATCTGCTTTAAGAATTTTGAACAGTCTCCCAGGAGCCACATACTTTCTTTTTTTTTCCGCCTCCAATCTAGCATGGACAATTATTTATTTTCTTCGCCCTGCACTCAAGAATGTGATGGATGTATTTACATAAACACACACAGTGTCACAGATATCTCTATATAAAAATTAATCTGCAGATGATGAAAAGTGTAAAAGATCTAAGAGGCAAATCCCAAACAAAAGAGCATACTTTATACATAAATATCTTGAAATTATAAAGATCTGAGATTAAGTGGTTTACTACTCATTTAGAATTGATTAGAATGTATTTAAATTTAGCTGAAAGTACCACAACATTGCTCATGTATTTGCATCTGCGAATAAGTAAATAAAAAGCCTGTTATTAAAGCCTTCATTAATTCTGATTATATGAGAACTTAAAAGCAAATCTGTGTATTACTGCTCTGTAAAGACTCCTAGCAACTCTACAGTAAAGCTGGCACTGCAACACAACATGTGTCAGCGAAAATGACTAACAGGATCTATTTTCAGTAATCTTAAATCACACTGGTAAAATATAGAATTAATGGTTTTGCATAATACTTCAAATATTTTTTTATTCTAATTCATTCCCAATTCACGCCTTATTGTATCAAAAATTGAATTTCATATCACTTGACATTTATGCACAACAGTTGAACACATTTTATTAAACCACAATGTTTAGGCAGTATTCAGATGTGATGTGTATATTATTATGAAAAGTGATCCAGCTATTTTATTTCCTTATAAATATGATGGATAGAGTTTTAAAAATATATCACATTGACTAGAAACATTAAGAACATTTCATTCTGACTACAGATTTTTAGAGTTACTATATATTTAATTGAAGCCAATATTTTTGAAAGAAGGATTAATTCATTTTAGTAGAATTTTCCCCCATTTTAAGACTTGTCTGTCAATTTCTAAGGAATTTAACAATTAAGTATATACTCTACCCCAAAATGGTTCTTCTTGGAGAAATCAAGTTTTAAACTATCAATGACTGGTGAAAGTCAACTTCCCCCCTGCCCTCCCTCTCCCCCCTCCACCCCAAAAATTCTACCCGTATCTCTGGCACGGTTTAATAGTTTAAGCAGAGAAGCATAACTGGGAAAAAAAAATTAATTAGTTTCTTCAATCTCTATTCTTATACTAATAAATTAAATAAATGTATTAAAGCCAATTTGTGTTTACAGAAACCTGAGTTTGCGACACCGATTCTCCTGTCAGCCCTGACGTTCCCTTTTGACTGTGAAGGACTGTCCTGGTAAAGTTACCTCTGCAAACTCTACTGCTTATGGCTCAATACAAAGCTTGAGTGAATCTTTCCATGACTTGAGTGGCACCACAGATGGCAGACCAGCACCGGTGTATAGTTATAAATGCAAAGTGATTTGGGGCAGTGAAAGACTCACTAAATATGGCACATAGAAAATGAGGTTGCAATACCTAAGAAAGTTTGCTTGCTGCTCTCGCAGTTCAAAAGTCATTGCAAGTTAAAACAAAATAAAACAAAAACCAACCTCCCCCCAACATTTAGCCATTAAACTCAGAGTTATGAGGTGGAGTTTGATTAAAGATTTTGTACTTTATCATGTCTGATAATCAGACTGGTTTAGAACAAGCTCTACACTTTATAGAGTTGGCCTCAAAATAAATTACT